AGTGCAGAATTCATACAGATGTTCTATATCAGGGACAAGAACTATGAGCCTCTGATAAGGTGTTCTGAAATGGTGAAACTCTGAGCAGAATCAAGTTCAATCTTCCTCACTTACACTGCTTTGGTTCTTGGAAACTTAGTGGGAAATTAAAACCTTCTTTAAAAAACAAACAGACAAACAAACAAAAAAAAACCCACTTTGTACATTAAGTTCTGGGTCAAGGCAATTAGGAACCAATGTTTTACTTCTTGTAAAGTCTGACAGGGTGTTAGAAGGTCATGCCAGACTCTGGACAATTTTTCAACTACAGGATCAGCCAACACACTACAGGATAGTTGGCATCTCTTGACTTTTGTCCATTAAATGAAAAAAACAACCCTCTAATTTTTGAGTCGAATGCCTCTAGAGATTTGTAAAGTGCCCTTGGGAAGTGGTACCATCCCCATTTCCACAGAGAATGCAGAGGTTTAAGAGCAAAGACCTTAGAGGAAGCAAGAATGTTTGTGCATAAAGGTTTATTGGCCAGTTTATAATCTTGGGCAAATGACTTAAATATTAGTATATTTCATGTGACTTTAACTAGGTGTATATGGTTGAATTTTGTCTATCTAAAAATGTATGTTTGAGTCCCATCCCCAGTAACTCATAATGAGATCATATTTGGAGATATGATCTTTAAGAAAGGTAGTCATGTTAAAGGGAGATCATTAGGTTAAGACCTAATCCAGTATGAAAGGATTCCACATAAAAGGTGACACTCACAGTGAGAACATCACATGATGATGAAGACAGAGATTAGGGTGATGTTCCTACAAGCCAAGGAAACCCCTAAATTGGCACCAAACCACCAAAGTCAAGGTGAGACAAGGAACACATTCTCTCAAACACATAGCCCTCCAAAGGAACCAACTCAGCAGACAGCTGGATCTTGAACTTCCAGTCTCCAGAACTGTGAGACAATGTATTTCTGTTAAAGAAACTTACTTAATGGAACTTGATAACAGTAGCTCTAAAAAAAAACAAACAAACAAATATACCAGGAAAATATTTTTACAAAATCATATCATTTTAATTTCCTCCTTTAATCTTTATTCTTTAGTAGCCTTTCTATTCCTGGATACAGGTTCTCCCTAGGAAAGAAGAATAATGTTATTGGACATATTTAATATGAAAGTAGGCTTGTAAGATAAGCTCTCTGTAGAGAGGACATGTTAAGGTGAATACACAAGGGCTGGTACTAGGAGATCCAATAATGATGGTCTTCCATGACATAGAGAAGATATATTTCAGTGCCATTAAAGTTAAAGACCAGGAAGAAAACAAATATGGCACGACATCCCAGTTTTTAGAGTCTCAGCTTGAGAGATTTTGAAGAAGAACAAGAGAAGCCAGAGATAGACCCCGCAGCATGGTGAAGCTGTACTGGATGGTTTTTTGGAAACCCTGGAGGCAGAAGTGACCTTTTTCTCCTTCCTCATTTGGGACTCTTCAGAGAAGCTGCAGAGCAGGCCAACTCTGTACCAATGTGGAGGTGGCTTCCTACTCTTGAGGAAATGTGATAGCATAAAGGGATGCACAAGTTTATTTCCTCAAAGACTCCCTTTGCTTCTGTGTGTGAGGGGTGAGTTTGCTTACCTCTTACTCTCCAAAGAGAAAGAATGAAGATGAGAAAAAAAATTGAGAAAGATCTACAGTGATGGCAAGAGATATGAAGACGCCATTTGTGGAGCACCCCCAGCTACAAAACTCAGTTGTAAATGCCTAAGGGGTACATCAGAGATTGGAGCAGAAATGAATCATTGGACCAATAGGGATATATATAAGGCTTTCTAAAGCATAGTAAATGAAAATAATACTTGAAGGAGAGAAATAAGACTGTTGGGGTCATAGGCATGGTTTCAAAAATCAGAAATGCAGACATGCTCTCAAGTATCCATAGGTCCCTCTAGTAATTTAATTTCCTTCAGCAAGCATTACAACAAACAACCACCTGATGAAGATTCCATGCACTAGGAATATGTATATAAATAAGCATTTATTTAAATAGCTATAATACAGCAAGATTAGCATAGAGTAGATGGCAATTTTCAATCCTTTGTACCTGGATCAATTACTTTGCTCAGAATATCAGACAACTCCCCAAGGTGTTGGCTCAGAGCTGGGTGGTGCCTTCAAATAATTTCCACCCACATTCTTCCAGGACTGCAAGGCATCTTATAAGAAATTAGGCTGTGGAAATTATTTCTATGGTTGAGCGTCCAAAGGCTCCATCATTTGTTCTTCATCTCTGAGTCTCCTCCTTGGCTTGACCCTTTCTCAGTGGTAGCACATTTGGGTATTTCAAAAAGGCTTAAGAAGGAAGACAATCACATGGTGTGGAGTGACCTACACAAGTCACCTATCTTAAGAAGGATGAGTCTGAGTCAGGGAATATTGCAGACAAAGGATATTCTTCTCCTTTGTTCCACCAGATGGAGGTTTTATTGCTCCCTGCCAGTCCACACTCCCAGAAACAACCTCCTTTTTTCTTTTTCTTTTTTAACACCTCAGGCCTTCTTTTTAATGATTATGGTATAATTAGTAGAGCTAGAATCCTTTTATTTTATTATATTTGCTATGCTGGCCTCATGTACCGACATTGAGAAGAATACAATGGTCTGAATCATGTGCCTTGTGCCAAAGAACTGGGGTATAATCTTGTTCCGGAAGGGTGCTCTCCACTACTTCAAGACTCCTGCATATCCCAAATCCACACAATTAGGGAATGTCCTCCAAGGACAAATAAACTATAAAAAGGGATGAAGTTTCCATGTGCAGGTTTATTTTTTTCCACTTGGCATTGACTTCAATATCCCCAGCTTATTGGGTATGAGATCCAGAGGCCAGGGGTGCAGTCGATCATCTTCAGTGTACAATACCCCACAAGAAAGAATCACTACAAAATGTTAACAGTGATAAGGATGAGAGATTCTGAGATAGAGTACAATTTAAAAGTTGTTACATAAAGAACCCCTCAAAGATAACTCAAACAAGACAGAAATATGTTTGGTTTTGTCTGAGGTGGAAAGGTAGCTCTGTCATATAACCCAGGTTCCTTCTATTTTCTTGCTCTGCATCCCATTACTGTATTGCCCTTGTCAAGTGGTTGAAAGCTGGCTTTCCAGCTTTGCTTAACATTCTGATCGACATGTATTCGTTTACTCGGGCTGCCATCACAAAATGCAGTGGTTGAAACAAGAGAATTTTATGTTCTCACAGCTGAAACCTAAGATTGAGGTGGCTGGTGGATTTGATTTCTCCTGAGGCCTCTCTCTGGGGCTTGCAGAGTGCTGACTTCCTGTATTCTCACATGGCCTTTTCCCTGTGTGTGCACACCTCTGGTGGCTCTTCCACTTCTCATAAGGACATAAGTCACAATGGATTAAAGCCCCACTCTCATGACCTCATTAAACCTTAATTATATCTTTAAAAGCCATGTCTTCAAATATAATCATATGGGGGGTTATGGCCTCAATATAAAAATATTTGACAAGACCACTTTTATCTGTAATACCATGTGAAAGGAGAAAGAGAATAATTAGAAGGAAAACAATTTCACTTTCAGGGATATTACCTTGAATTTGTGTAGATGATTCCTTTCCACCTATCCTTGTCCCCAAACTTAGCTGCCATGTACAACCTAACTACAAAGAAGTCCGGGAATACATTTTTAGCTTGGTATCTGTGCACACAGCTAAAATTTACAGGTTTGTTTTTCTAATGAGGAAAGGATTATGGATGTGAGGTGTCCCCCAAAAGCTTATGTGTAAGACAATACAAGAATGTTCAGAGGCAAAGTGATGAGATTATGAGACATACTCCAATCTGTAGATTAACCCACTTGAATGGATTGGGGTGGAAACTATAGGCAGGTAGGTTTTGGGTGAAGGAAGTAGGTCACTGGGGGCATGCCTTTGGGGGTATATTTTGTCCTTGGTAAGTGGAGCTCTCTCTGTTTCCTTGCTGCCATGTTCTGAGCTGTTTTTCTCTGTCATGTTCTTCTGCCGTGATATTCTGCCTCATCTCAGGATCAGAGCTATGAAGTCGGCTGACCATGGACTGTACCCCTGAAATTGTGAGCCAAAATAAACTTCTCTTCCTCTAAATTGTTCTTGTCAGGGATTCAGGTCCCAGTAATACAAAGCAGACTAAAACAGAAAGCTTTTAAAGGAAGAGGGTTAATTATGGACTCTCGGAAATGATAGCTTGGTCTAAATTTTTTATTTAGTATTTTCCCCATACATTGCCTCTTGGATTCCCTTCAACTCTCCAGGCCCACGTGATAGGGCTACTTGTTATTGCACGGGACCTAAGTACTACAGGCACCATACCTATCTCTAGGTCTTTCATTACAGAAGAATCATAAAACTTCAGCCATAAGAAAATACTTTATATTTTTGAGAACTGTTGTTTTGAGTCCAGGCAAACTTATTCCAACCTGAAATACCAAGTGTCTCTTGTTTTGTCCTTCAAATTTCAGAGAACAGTGAGAAAAGCTCTATACCAGAGAAGAGAAACTGCATATGCTGATATCCTTTAAATTAACTTCCTTTTCTGCCAGTGAACCCTTGGAACTCTATCTTTTATGACTGGGATCGAGATGTGGTCCCTAAAAGCATAAACCTTGAAAAACCATCCCTGAATAAAAGATCACCTGTTAAGTATATTAATAACTGCTACATATAATATATATTTTTAAAATGACTATAATAGCAATACACTTTGTTTCAACATATATTAACTCAGTTCATATATTGACATTGAACAGTTATAATTTCCAGTCAGTTTATGCTGCTAATAGCTAAAACAAGGCCATCATCCAAGTCATTTGTGGAACTTCTCTAGCAGACCATATTTATGTGAAATATCATTAAGCCTTAATGGGATTTATGGAACAATCACTGAGTTGGAAAAGGGCGACCTCTAACACTCTCCCTGAGCATGAAAGAAAGCCAGCTCACCGTTCTTCTTGTAGAACATAATTTCTCCTTTGAATTCTGTTTTTTCCTCCAGTGATTTTTCTATTTGAAGCATCAGCTGCTCATTGGTTTCAGCACCAAATAAGAACTTGCAGCTACAACTCTTCTGCATGACTTCAGTTCGGGCAAATCCAGCAAGCTCACAGAAGCCATCGGAACAGTAGACTATGGGGAAACCTTTAGCCACCTGGGCGTTGGCGAGGATAAAGTTGCTATCTGCAGAAAAGTAAGGAGAAGATATTCAGCAACTTAAGAGTCTTCTTTAAATGACAATTTCAGCAACAAATTCCAAGCGCATGTGTTTAACTAATGGTGCATAAAATGCAGTCCTAACCTGCTGTGGCGATACAGAGACACTCCAGAACAGAGAATGGCACCCAGCAGCAGACAAGAGGACTAAACTCTGACTTTGGCTTGCAGTTCACAGGCCTGTAGGAGGTGCTTACCATCTAACTGGCAGTAAGGGATGGTGCTTTTGAGGATGGCTTCTGGTTCGTATCCTAACTGACATGTGATGTACAGGTGAACTTGAGCCAGATACTCCAAACACTCTAAACCTGCTTCCTGATATCTTATTTTCCCAAAAGCAGATCCCAAAACTAGAAGTAGTTTATTTAGGAGGCGATCAAGGAAGGAGTCCAGGAGGGAAATGAGATAGGGAAGGAAGGGACCTAAGTACTACAGGCACCATATTGTTGAAAGGGGGCTTAGTGACATGGGTAACTGTGGCTCGACCATTCAGGATCCTAGAAGTGATGTGAAAATACAGAACTCAAGATTTTCCCAGAGAGTAGAATATTGATACACCAACATTCACTCCTCATTGGTTAAAGATCACTCCTGGGAGGTGGTCATTGTGTTGGTAATTCGTAATTCTGACCCACTCATACTCTAGAGATATCTTGAGTAGCCAGAGGCCAAAAGCCATTGATATTTAAGGAAATGATCTACACATGACCCCAAGATAAGTCAAGATGATTCTTGCAGGGCACTGATAGGTATATTATAAGGATTATGAAGTTACTTTATGTATGTGTTATAGGGATTGTGTGGAGGGGAGGGCGGAGGGGGGTTGCAGGGGAGCAAACCCAGGGCCTTGCACATGCTAAGCATGTGGTCTACCACTGAGGTACATCCTCAGATCTACTGTAGGGATGAATGAGATTAGTCATATAAAGTGCCTAACAAAGCATCGGACACAAAGACACAATAAAGATTATTGTTAAGAGTACTATTCACATTTATTATTATTATATTAACAAATAAGAATTTAGGGGTCAATCAAAACTAGTAGACTATTATTAAGTGTTTAAAGACAACCCCTAAAGAAGAAACTGAAAGTCAATGTTAAAAGAAAGGTTCTTGCAGGATGAATTTTGGATGATTTACTTTGAAGGGTGGATATGATATTTATCCAGAAAAAGCACTGCATGTTGGAGGTGGACTTTAAAATGACTCATTTCTAAAACCTGTTAGTGGTTTTAGTTTTAGAATGAATTAGTTTTAGGGTGAATTAGATACTATTATCAAACCATTCATTCATTTTCACAAGGAACAAATGTTGAACACTGTCAATATACCAATAGTGTTACAAGCTATAATTTTATTGATAATAAAATTAAAAGTAGAAAGGACTATGGGATAAGTTGTTAAATGAAAAAAAGGTAAGATTTAATTAGTATGATATATGAACTATCTGAAAAAATACAAATACACAAACGTGTACATATATATCAAAGGCATCTACCTGAACATGAATGTAATAACTGGTAAGTGTGGTTGCCTCTATACAATGAGCAACTATGGGAAGAGGTGGGATGAAGCTACATTTTAATGACATATCCTACTGTGTACTCTGAATTTTATGCCAGATGTTTTATATATTGCCTATTCAAAAACTAATATGTTTCAAAGAAGTTTACAGAGCAGACAACTTTTGGCACATGCTATGAGGAAGGAGGAACTCCAGCCACTTCTGGGTGGCCAGCAAGACAAGCCCTGAACATCTATCCCATGGGTTTCCTCATTTCCTTTTCAACTTCTGTTGTTCATTTCCAAACACAGTCCAGTACTCAGATTTGTTCCAACCAACCCCTAACCTCAGAGTTCCATTTGTGGTGATATCACCTGTATCCCACCTTGGCCCCACTGGCTCTTCCACCATTTTAGCCACTTTCTGAAATCCAGAGCTCAAGATGCATACTTGGAAACTAAATTGTATGCTGTTTTGAAGTTATGGGAGTGAATTAAATTATTCCAGATAAATAATTCTCTCACATTTTACAGAATCATTTATTGACTATATTAAATGTTGGACTTTGTCCCAGGTGTGCATGCAAAAATGTTGATATGATCCCTGACCTTAAAGGTAACAGTTATGACCCTGTGGGAATTTCCAGCTTGGTCCTGTGGGGGGCACTCTCCTACTGGGGCTGTGATCTCAGTCTCACCAACTACAAACAGCTTCAAATTACTCTAACCATAGTGTGTGTCTCTTCTTCCCTTATTTAAAAATGTGGTGGAGAGGTTACTTAGAAAATGTAAATACATAGCATTGTCAAAGTCCTCATGCATCCTGAAGGAATTCTTAATATGCTTTCACAAGCCATTTTCAATAGATCATCAACATGTTTACTAACTTTCTATGATAATGTCAGGAAACATGGTTCTACCATATGGCAGGTCCTAGGGTGAAGGACAGGGAATGTTTAAAGAATGAAGCATGGTCTATAGCTGTAGGATACTATAATTTAATTAAAGAAATGCATGAATACAGAAAAAAAACCAATAAAACACACACCATCTGAGTACCAAATCAGTGGTACAGAGATAATAATTACTATAAGAATTTAGAGATTAAACATCTCACAGATATTGACAATGGTTAGCTTGAAATAAGACAAAATAGGTGGAGATGACTTATCGAAAGTTCTGGAATGTTAGGAACAGTTGCTTGGATGTAGTAGGGTTGTTGGATGAAAAGGAAAGGAACTAGAGACAGAGAACAAAGACTGCATCTTGTCCCCAAGTCCAGTTTTCTCATCACTTATACAGCTACAATAGCTTTGTTATTATTTGTCTGATAGATTTTTTCACATCTTTCTATTTTCAGATCTCTTAGGTACTCATATTTCAGTTGTGTCTTATGTGTGGTCTCCATTTAAATTTTCTAAGGTAAAATGTGAAAGCATATCCTTCCACCTAAGATTAATATAATTACTTTTATTATAGCACTAGTACATTATTTTTAGTTATCTTAATTTGTTCTCTCTTTACTATGTTTTTGTTATTTTGCCTTTCCCATTTTCAAAAATTTGAGCTATATTTTTAAATGTACATTTTCAAACAATAAACACCTGTAGACCATTTATCCAGAGAAGACCTTTGTGTGTACCAGGTATACTTGTATGTCCTTTCCTCCCCAAAGAAGAAACTTAAACATTTGTGATAATCACTCTAATTTACATAGACCATTTACATAGATTTTTTTTACCCCTTATTTATTCTCATGCAATGTATTATCTCTTTTTCTGATATTTAAGGCATACAACCTATTATTTCTATATGTTTCTTAGTGACATGCTTTTTGAATTAATTTCCTTAGCATTTTTATAATTGTTAGCAGACATAAGAAAAAAGGACAAGTCCTTTAAAGCTATAACAAGCTTCTGAAAAAAAAAAAGATGCTAAAGGATTCACCAAGTTTCCTGGTCTGTGTGTTTTAATTAAGGATTGTAGTGTGTGTGAGGTAGCTAATTCTTCTTGCAAACATACTACAAAAACAAAGCAATAAATAAATAAATAAATAAAGGCATGCACTTTGTCTATTCTGTTTATATTTAGCATTTGTCCTCAATATGTAATTGCATTTAAATTCCAAAGAGAATTGAGTGGCAGTCTGTGCTTTATAAAGCTTAGCCTACTAGCTACATGAATGGTCCTTCTGTTTGGGAAAGTGTAGCTCCTCTGCCCAGCTATCTACTTGGAAACATATGCTTTCCTGAATACAGCCCTGGAATTCCCAAAGAAGAAACATGACATTTGCTTTAGAATTATGTAAAACAAAGCCACTGCCATAATGATTAGGCACTCATCATGGGCCTATCACTATCCATACATATGCTAAGGGTATTTAACCTTTTAAGGAATCAATTATGCATATGTGATATGCATCTAAATGCCACACAGCTTTTCTCTGCTTGTTTCTAGGTCATCCTTTTTTTGTATTTGCAGTTTGAAAGTGACAGCAAACAGTGAGATCTAAACACATTTACATATCAGGCAGTTGATTATTTCTCTAAATGCTTTCTTAGCCAAAAGCTTTCATGGATCTTCAGAGGGAATCTCTTTATGAGTAGAGACCCAGATCATTCTGTCTGACCTCCTAATCTGAAGCACCACTTTCCCATTGAGAGATGCTTTGTTGACTTTCCAAGTACAAAAGGAATGGAGAGGTATAGAAGATACCACCACCACCACCACTAATAATAATAATAATAATAATAATAATGGGGCTAGGCAAACACTGATCTATCTCTGTACTTGCCTCATTAAAGATGAGAACTTTAGTTTCCTATTGGAAATCCAAAATTAGGAATTTAAACACAGTCTAGATCACATACTGTTTTACTCTATCATGTATTCCTTCTTTAAAGAAGTGGCTTGCCCTCTACTACCAAGAAAAATCGGCAAGTTGCTGAAAAATAATTTATATCTTTTCTAGTCTCCAAAGTGCCCAAACTTACAGATTCTTCTTTATAGAGATCATTTATTAAGAGTTTAGTTATGGCATCTCTTAAAGCCGTCCAGATCTCTCAACAACCTCTGTCATTTCCTCGGTTCCTCCAGAAAGTCATATTTCAAAAATCTGAAATATTTTGGTTCTGAAATATTTTGCATAGGTCCACTCCAGACTCTCATAAGAGGCATAGAAATGTAGTTGCTATTCAAATGAACTGGTCTCCAATCTCCTCAGAGAGTGTTGGTGTGTATCATAGTGCTTCTGAAATTTTCCCATTGAAGTATCCTTCCACTGGACAAAGCCAGTTAGTACATATTCCAAGGGATCTGGAGTCATCACCTTATGTCTGATTGATATTGTTTTGAAGTCTCATATTTAATTTAACTATGCAACAGAATTTCTCATTCCACTCTTTAATATATTCATTCTCATTTTAGTGTGGGCTGGACAATTTTTAATTCAGGAAGATGTGTTA